CCCCAAAACCCCAAAACCCCAAAACCCCAAAACCCCTTAAAACTATTAAAACTCAACTTTTATATTCTATCTAATTAGTAAAATGTACGATCATGTAGAGGAGACTCAAAACAGTTAGTTCCCGCTCTTTTCATGTTCTTGAGGAACAGTTGGTACTGATCTTTCATTTCACCTCCTTTCAGGACACTTAATAAATTCCTTCACTTGCCTTTGTTTCTATTGTCTAAGCTCGAGTCTATAGAAACATTTCTTAATAATGCAGCTTGAGCTTCACTATCTCCAAAAGATTTATCACTAAAATGGTAAGAACTATTGTCTCTTGGCCTGTTAGGTTCTTTCCTATTTAAATCTTCTCCATAAATAATTACAAAAATCTGTTTAAGCAGTAGGATGCTTATTAATAGCCAGAAGAAGCCTCAAGTCATCAATAACAAAAATTTGATTCCTTTATAGATCGAATGATTAGTGATTATTTGGAATAATATTAGTAAAAGGAAAGAGAAGATATTTATTAAGAAAATGATAAATATCCCATGATTTCCTGTGCCAATACAATTGTTTATCCAAGGACAGTGGTGATCAAACCTTTCTACTCATTTATCACAGATAGTTCAGTGTCTACTTCTTGGAGTTCTAATGATTTTACACTTTGGACATAAACAAGTTGGATCTAACTTTTCAACAAGAGTTATAAATTCGAGCTTGTCACTTTTCTTCAAATAACCTGGATCTTTAAATGCAGAAAGTATCCAAAATATAACTGATGATCCAAATAGAGCGCCTAAAACACAGTTCCAGACTATGCTTCCTGTAAATGGAAAAATATAGAAATACAAAACCACTAAAAGCAAGGTCATTAGAACTACAAAACTAATAGCAGTATGAAGCTCTTTCTTCATTTTAGTTAGAGGCTGTGTGAGTAATAAAAATGAGCAGTATTTAGGTTCAGCAAGTGACTTCCTAATCTCAACTGACACATGATGAACTGCCACATCTTTTGCATAATCCATTGGACTGCTTCCTTCATTATTAGTTAAATTCCTATCAGCTCCATTGAAAAGAAGCTGTTTTACTAATCGAGTATTTTTAACAACGTCTGAAGATTTAATAGCTAAGTGGAGAGGAGTATGACCATCTTTATCTTGTGCATTAGGATAAGCATCATTTGCAAGTAGATAAGCTACAGTCGTATCTGCTCCAGAATATCAGGCCCAATGCAAGGGGGTTCCATTAACTCTATCTCTACAATTAACATCAAAATTTTTGTTCAAGAAGTAGACCACACAAGTTGGTTGATTTCCTTGAGCAGCAATATGAAGAGCATTCAATCAAAAATTACTTTCGACATAGATATCAGCACCATGTTTTTCTAAAAATCTAACAATAGAAAGATTTCCATTAAAAGAAGCAAGATGGAGAGCTGTAAATCCTTCTTTTCCTTCAGTCTTTGTATTTATCCAATTTTTCATTTTCTTTTTCTTCTTCTCAAAAGTGCCAGTCTGTTTTGTCATTATGTGCTTTCATAGCATGAGAATCATCCTTTCTGAATCTTTGAATACAGCTAAATGAAGTAAAGTATATCCATTTTGACTGTCCACAACTTTTGTTAAATCTAGACTTGCTGGGATATCACCTAAGATTTTCTCCAATGACAAAAAGTCGATGCTGGAAATAGATTTCAGCAAAGAATCAATATGTTCTTGCTGGTTATCTCTCTGAATATTTGGCTGCAGATTATGATACAAATCTGATTCATTATTTGTATCCTCTGGTGAAATATTGTTTGACTCATCATTTGTAATTAAATTGTTCTCATACGAGCAATCTTTTCTTCTAATAAAAGGATCTTGGATCTCATAATCATCACTAGTTTTGGCATAACTGTCAGAGAGATCATCCAATTTCTTATACTCAATTTTTTGTTGATCTCTATCATAAGCTTGTCCATGTTGGTACTCTTGAGCTTTAAGATCAGTAGAGTCTGGCTCCATTTATTATTATTTCAATTTTTAATAGAAAAACTGGGGTTTTGGGGTTTTGGGGTTTTGGGGTTTTGGGG